CCCATCACCATCTTTGGGGAAAGGGTGAAGGACAAAGCTAAGGAGGATTAGAAAAACTTACTGTAGCCTCAAATGCTGGGTTTGCCAAGCCATCGTCGCTGTTTTTAGGTGAAATCTTGACTTCGTCCATTGTCTTGGGGTTCTGAATCTGTTACCTTGGTCTGTTCTGGAAGACATGATCCACTGTCATCTTGGCAAGTAGCACCCCAGAGCATCTTCCTGTGGTCAGAACAGCCATGCTCATACCCCCGTCCTTCCCAACCTCTCTCCCCCCAGCACTGCTTCAATCCTATAATCCCAGTTCCAGGTAGAGTGCCTCTGTCCATGGGCCACCAAGATCTGTAGGAGACACAAACCTGTTGAGTTAATCTATGACCCAACACTACCTATTTCAGTTGAATGCACCAGATGGTCAATTGGTTGCATCTTTGCTATCACAATGTGCAGCTTTCCTTCTCAACCAACAAAACACCCTGTGATTCTTTCCACTGTATTTCCTTCCACATCTACAGGAGATCACAAACCAGACCACACAGTTTTGTTGTCTGGCTCCTTTGTCTAGGGGAACCAGTTGTTCCTTAATCCCTCTTTAGTGGGTCTAATTCTTTTCCCAATGCTGACAATAATCCTACTCATATCCAGGTAAATAACTTCCAGCAAAATCAGACTCTTCCCAGCTTACCCTCAGAACCAAGAAGAAATCCTTTTCTTACTACACCCTTAAGACCAGGTCATAAATCAGTAATCAATGAATTGCGTAGTCCAAAGATTTATTAGACCGTAAAACTCCTCCTCCTCCCCATTTTTTTCACACACCTGTTGTTTACACACCTCCCCATTTTTTGCACAACATTTTATTATGTTTTAGCATTGCACATCTCTAGGAAGAACTTCAATTCTTTTTCTGGGATCTGAGAAGAAAGATCTCAATCCAGTCAATATTCTCCAATTGCAAGGAATGGGGTGGTGAGGACAGAGTAGATTGCAGAAAGAATCTCCAGGGGGCGCTTTCTGGAGGCTTGTTAGACGTCCTGAGGTCCTCTTGATGTCCTTCAGATATGAAACGCACCTGGTTTTAGACAGCAAAGGGACCCTACTCCTTAAATACAGAACAGGTAGAAGCAGAAAAGGCTACCCAGCGTTAAAGGGAAATGGTACATTCAAGTTAGGGTCAAGAACAGAGAAGGACTAGAATGGATGTCAGCAATTTTTCTCTCTCTAGCTTCTTCAAGTCATACTTTAGGCAGAGTCTAAAATATAGAGAAATGCAAAAATCATCTTGATCGTTTCTTTTCAAGATCTCCTCGGTACTCAGGAGCAGTTAAGGGGGAAAAAAGGAAAGCTTGAAAAAAAAAAAGGCAAAATAACCCACCCTTGATTTTATTTGGTAAAAGAAGGAATAGAAGTAGACTTTGGCAGGTTTTCAAGATTCAGTTATTTTAAGCTATAACAATACAGTGGAATTACAGGGGTCCTTGCAATCTCCTTAAAAGACTGAAAAGCCTGCAAACCACCACAATCGCATAATTTTAGATTGTGTGCTCAGCAGGATAGATGCGTGCCCTCTTGTACTCCGAGAAGGGTAAAATGTGCTGATGTTTCAACAACAACTTTGGTGCTGTTCTGGTGATAGTTACACATTAAACAACTCAGCTCTTGGATAGCTTGAAAACAATCACTAAATTTTGCCTGGGTGGAATAAAACCCAGGAAAACTCAGGATGGATCTTCAACAATGGACAATTCATTCACAACCTTTTGGCTGAAATTGCCATACCTCAAGATGAAGCAGGCATGTACAGCAGAGGTAGGTATTCAGCCGGTTCTGACCAATTCTGGAGAACCAGTAGCGGAAATTTGGAGTAGTTTGGAGAACCAGCAAATCCCACCTCTGACTGGCCCCACCAACCCCATCTATTCTCTGCCTCCCATCGAGTCCCAGATGATCGGATGGGTCTCCTTTGGTTGTCCTACACATGAGAACAGAGTTGGAAAGCAGGTTAGTGGGGTGGGGAAGGAATGGGGATTTTGATAACAGATAACAGATAATTATTATTATATGTTACTTCCATACCTCTCAAGGCTAAATGTTTGTGATGGTCCTGAGAGCTGTATGAATTTACTTTGCACATTAGATTTAAATTAGATTAACAGAGTTGGAAGGGACCTTGTAGGACATCTAGTCCAACCCCCTGCCCAAGCGGGAGACCCTACACCATTTCTGACAAATGGCAGTCCAATATCTTCTTGAAAGTCTCAAGTGATGATGCTCCCACAACTTCCCAGGGCAACTTCTGTTCCATTGGTTGATTGTTCTCACTGTCAGAAAGTTTCTCCTTATTTCCAGGTTGAATCTCTCCTTGTTCAGTTTCCATCCATCATTCCTTGTCTGGCCTACAGATGCTTTAGAAAATAGCTTGACCCCCTGCTCCTCTCTGGGGCAGCCCCTCAGATATTGGAAGGCTGCTCTCCTGTCTCCCCTGGTCCTTCTCTTCACTAGACTAGCCAGGCCCAGTTCCTGCAACCGTTCATCGTATGTTTTAGCCTCCAGTCCCCTAATCACCCTGGTTGCTCTTCTCTGCACTTTTTCTAGAGTCTCAACATCTTTTTTATAATGTGTTGAACAAAACTGGATGCAGTGCTCTAAGTGTGGTCTTACTAAGGCTTATAGAGTGGTATTAGTACCTCTCTTGATTGTATCCCTCTGTTAATGCAATTTAGGATTGCATTAGCTTTTTTGGCTGCTGCTGCACACTGCTGGCTCATATTTAGCAGGTTGTCCACTAAGACTCACAGTTACTGCTATTGAGCCTGGTTTCACCCAGTTTATATGTGTACTTTTGGTTTTTCTTGCCTAAGTGTAGGACTTCACTTTTCTCTACACTGAATTTCAGTTTTTTAGAATTTTGCAGTAACCTTACCCTGCCACGCCCACCAAGCCACGCCCACAGAATCGGTGGTAAAAAAATTTGAATCCCACCACTGACGTACAGTAAGCCGGGAGGACAAAAGGCAGGAATCTAGTCTACAAGATCCTTTCAGGGGACAGATAAGGAAGGGAGATAGATAAGAAGAAACCAAGTCATTAAGGAAACAACGACAAAATGTCACCAGAACAGAAGAGAAGAGAATAACGGAGTTGGAAACGGGCCTTGGAGATATTCTAGTCCAGTGGTCACCAACCACTGGTGGTCCATGAGAAAATTTTGGTGGTTCACAGAGAAATGTGGCTGGCTGGTCCCACCCCACCCCTTCCCGCCCAGTCACTTCTTACCTGGCATGCGTGCCATCAAACTTGCCTGCTAAGTTGCTATTTTTCTTTTTCTTTTTTTTCCTGACCATTAGCTGTACTGCTGTGCTGGGAGATTTAGATTAGTTAGAAAGCATGAAATAGTTGGATTTCTTGCTTTCTTGCTAATCTAAAAGGACTGAGGCTTCTATTTTTCAGTGCAGACTCAGGTAGCAGATTGCAGAAAGATAGCTGTCTAAGTGAATCTGTGATTTTGTGAGCAACTCCATCTGCTTGTCTGCTTTGCCTGATTTTGGATAAAAGTCATTTTTAAAAAATTAAATATTTACATAAATATTTACAATATTTACATACAAGCCATGCCCAGCGAGTCATGTGACCATCAAGCCAAACCCACAAATTAGGCCACGCCCACCGAGCCAGTTGTTAAGAAATTTTAATCCCACCCCTGCATTCAACCATTTCTTCTTCTCTTAGAGTGGGAAAAGTCAGACATTTTTGGCACAGTACTGTCTATTCTTACCAGAATCCATCGGCTTTTCAGGTTCCATCTAAAAATCCTTTTTTTAGAGTTGCTAAGTGTGTTTTTTTCCTCCCCAGTTTGATAGGCAAAGCTTTCTTTTTCCACCTAGGCCTTAAGAATATCTTTAACTTTCTGCCATTCTTCCTTTAACTTTCTGCCATTCTTCCTTTAACTGTGCCAGTTCTTACTTATATGATGATGATGAGTCATAATTTTATTTGTGTAGTATTTGAACCTAATATTTATAAGATGTGTTCTGGGAGGCTGCCAAATCTGAAATGAATGTCAAACCCGATGAATAAACAAAAATTGCACGCAAACAATTGATTTGATTCCAGCTACTGGTGTGATGACCCAGAGTGTTAACACAAATGTAACAAAATCCAAAATGTAAATAAATGTCCTTTAAGGCCTCCAACTTGGCCCTACTGCTCAATAATACTCAGTTGGAGATACTCAAAAATTGTCTTCAAGAGAAAGCAATACAGTCCGAATTTAATGAGCAGATAGAGGTGAAATACAAAACCAGACAAACTACAATGATGAAATTTCCACAACGGAACAGGAGAAGTATTTATCAAAGTCAAGGAGATAACAAGGCACAGTCTGTTGGAAGGAGGCCAACTAAGATAACTCCAGACCAAAATAAAACACGCCTTGTTTCCAGCGTTTGCCAGTATGCAGGTCCAAACTCTTATGCAGTTCTCACACCTGCAGCGCATGAAGAGGATCAAGGACCTCTCCTCCCAAGTAGACGCATCTCTGCTTGATCCTTTCCTCCCTGCGTGCCCTAGGATGGATAGGGGATGGGCCTGGGTCCTCCTCTGACTGCTCAGCTGGCCTCTCCCCCTCCCCAGCCTCCTCCACAACCTCCAGAACCACACTTCCATTCCCTGTCAGCTGTTCCTCCTCTTCCTCAGTCAGTCTCCACCAGGGGTATGACAACTAGCATCAAAGGGAATTCGAGAAAAGGATAAGGAACAACAATCAGAAGTCAAAGAATGACCGTTATGCTTCTCGATAGTCGCCCAAGGAGAATGCAGTGCAGCAAAACTTCCTTGGAGAATTTTTAATCTGCCTGTTGTTAGGTGCCAACTGCATAATAACTGTCAACTTTGGACATGGAGATAACAACCCAACGGTTCCATCAAAAGAAGTGTGTGTGTGTGGGGGCAGCTCCAGGGGACTCACCTAAACACATCCCATATCTATTTTAGGTGCCATAATGTCTGACAGACTTTACAGTTGGGTGCCACCGAGATAAAAAGCGTTTCTTAATCAATCTCACAACTCAACCTTGTACCTTCACATCAGTACAGGCAGTTCTCCATTTAGGGCCACAATTAAGTCTCAAATATCTTGCTCAAGATCACTCTGTTGTACCACTACTGTGGTTATTAGCATACATGTGACTTTCTTTTTTTCTGTTTTCTTTTGTAAAATGATATGCTCTGACAATACGCTGTATTCAAAATGTTTATATATGAATTTTTTAAAAAAATTGTACTCAAAAAAACAAAAAAGCCACAAATTTCTTTTGTTAAACAGGACAGTCAAGTGAGTTTCACTCCGTTTTAAGACCTTTCTTGTCCCGTTTAAGTGAATCGCTGCAGTTGTTAAATTAGTAACACGGTTGTTAAGTGAATCTAGCTTCCCCATTGGTTCTGCTTTGCAAAAGGGGATCATGTGACCCCAGGACACTGCAACTGTCATAAATACAAGTCAGTGGGCAAGCATCGAATTTTGACCAGGTGACCGTGGGAATACTGCAATGGTCATAAGTGTGAAAAACAGTCGTAAGTCCCTTTTTTTCAGAGCCATTGTAATTTCCAATGGTCACTAAATGATCAGTCGTAAATCAAGAATTACCTGTATCAAATTTCTAGGTTCTATTATATCACAAGACCTAAAATGGAAAAAAG